CGCCCTGACGAAGTGGACTGCAAGGTTCACGAAACGTTGGCATTCCAAGAATGGATTTGAACACGGAGAAAACCCGCGAAACACAGGATTGTCAATTTATAATTATCTTTAATCTATTATTTACGAGTATAGTTGAAGAGATATTACTTAGATTATATGTTATATATATTTTATATATTTTATAAGAGATATGTGCATATAATTTTATTATTAATAAATAAATAAATTGTTAATACATGTATGTAAATATTTTGCAGATATGCAATTTGCATCCACGTTATTGCAATATGCAAGGAAGAGTACACCTGCAATACCTAGTATGTATGATGTTTGCAATAATATATTTGATATGTTTTTAAATATATATTTATATACATATATATATATTTCATATAATGCATAAGTTTATATACTGTGAAATTAAACAGTTGCCTGGGTCGTTTGATAAGTCTGATAAATTTTTTCTGGTAAGATACCATAATCTGTTTGCTGATGTGACACCTAGAAAGTACCACTCATTAAGTCTCTCCAGACCAAATTTCAGTCAGAATTTACGCGTTATTCATTTGGTAGTTATTCGTTTGGTAGTGAAAAATGGGATTCTGTACAAAATTATACAAATTGGACTTCAATTTTTTTTCCATTTTGTGTGTATGCCGCAACTTCTAAACTTCTTGCTCGCTTCAAATGACTACTGAACGTAAACAATATGTCAATTCTAACTGAAATTTGACCTAGAGAAGTTTCAAAAGTAAAATTTTGTAGGTATCACACCATCATATAGATTTTTGCACCATCTCATAAAGATTTACTAGACATATCAAACGATACTTGTAATAACAGTATTGTTAATAAGATAGTATTGTTAACAGATGAAAATGTATTAAATTTACCGGATACTCTTGTAAGCTCTAACGAAGTCAGTCAATTGAATAATGAAGGTATGTACCATGGTATACCATATGTGTCACAGCAACTATTTTGAGATCATGTATTACTGACAAAAGATTTTCTGGTGAAAATAAAGGTTGAGACAAATGTAAGGAGAGTGATAGAAGCTTTGTTTATGCTTTTATCATTCTCTTTACATTCTACCTACACTGTAATTTTTATTTTCAATTGGTTTAATATAATTACTTTATTATGTTTTTACGTAATTTTGTGTATTATAGATGTCTATATTTGGAGTAAAAAGGAAACATTGTTATTAATACATTTGTACAAAGAAAATGAGAAAATGTTTACTCATGGAAAAATGAAGCAACATTTATGTTGAAATGAAATTGCTAAAGAAATGGCCAAAAAAGGTTATACTATTTCAGGAAAGAAATGTTGTACAAAGTTTCAAACTTTGAAAAGAACTTACAAACAAATCAAAGATCATAACAATAAATCAGGAAATTCAAGAAAAACATGGGAATACTTTGATGTATGTTGACATGTATTATCATAAACTTTTATACAGAAATATCTTTCATGTACATTTTATGTGGAAATTATGGTATATAGGCCATGGATGCATTTTGTGGAACCAAACCATGGGTTGAACCAACAGCGGTAGCTGGATCTAACATAAATAATGCATTTGATGATGATGATAATGATGGATTTTCTGAGATTCCAAAAAAAAGTAAGACAAATATACATATATCATTATACTATGTGATATCAAAAATAATATTAAATACAATAAATTATTTATAAATTTTTACATAAATAAATTAAAATAAATTGAAATACGCATACTTATACTTACAGAAATAAAATCATCAGCTGCTACGTACAAACAGAAAATATTAGAATATAGACAACTTCGTTCTGAGAAGAAAGATGCGCAACATGCAGAAAAAATGGAGTTATTAAAGGATATCAAAAATTTATTGCAGCACACAATCGAAAAAGATGAATAATCTGCTACTTAAGATATATCAAATTTATTTTCCGCATTCACTTTCTTCAAAAAATTAGTAACTATTATTAAAGAGCAATATAAAAAAACGTTATAGCTACATGTGCTGGCAATAAAAGAGTAATGTAAAGAAAAACATAAAAGAGTAATTTTAAAAAAACGTTACAGTTATGCTGGCAGTAATGCAATTGTGGAACAGTTATGTTATGTGAAAACAGCGGTACGCAGTAAATAAACAGGTTAAGTTATAAATTTGCACGGTTGCAACAGAAATATTGAACGAAAACAGTGATAGCTTATTTGAGAAAGACGAATTATTAGAATTAACCAATTCAACAATTTATCGACCACGCATAAGAAACTATATCGATGTACATCAGTACTCAGACATGGAATTTAGAGCTTATTTTCTCTAACGTAAATGTCGTAAATACAAAAATAAAATGTCTCTTTTATAACTAATAATACATATTATAACAGTTTTGTAAATTAATATGTGAAAAACGTTTTTTTATATTACTCTTTTACGTTTTTATATGTTATTAACAAAGTTTAAAGTTTATACCAAAGTTTAAAATGATTTGAATCAATTTCAGTTTAAGTCTCTATACATGATATATTTGCAATTTTAGTGCAATTATAACCTTTACATTTTAGATGTAATTACCTTTTTATATTAGAATTTATATACTGAGGTTATATATATGTATAATAATTCTCTATATTAATACATTAATTGTATTTATTAAACACCGCTTACATTTAATAAAATATATATTAATAAAAGTTTTGTTACATATATTGTAATTACATATACGTATATTTTATTATTTTATTAAATTAAATTTGTCCATTTTTTAATGCATATGTTATCGCAATTCTTTTTTCAATTCCTTCTTGTCTATCTTCATTATTTTGTACATTCAGTTCATCTCTATTAATTTGATTCTGATTTTCTTCTAGTACAACTATCAAGTCATCCATTAAGTCTCTATGTAAAATACAAATATTATGAAGTACGCAACAGGCAATAATATATTTTGCGATCAAATCTGTCCGTTTCATGTGTAATTTATCTAACAAACTACGGAATCGTCCTTTTAATAAAGCAATACTTCTCTCTACCATGACGCGAACTACAGATAAGCAACTATTGAAATTGATTTGTTGTTCTGTCAAATGACCATTATTTTTATAAGGTACCATGACATGTTTTTGGATAGCATATGCAGCATCTCCTAGTATATAGCTATCCTCAGGGAAATAATTTTCTGTGCACATTTCTTGAAAACCACTCAATCTGAATACACGCATATCATGTACAGATCCGGGTTGTCCTGCATAACAGTGTATAAATTTCAAAGTAGAATCACATATAATCTGTAACAAATATAAATTAAACATGTATGCATGTGTGTGTGTGTGTGTGTGTGTGTGTATGTGTGTACACATACATATAAAATTAAGTATGCAATCCACTTAGTCAAATTGTTATACAAATTAGTTCATAATTATTTCTATTATTGAATAGACATTTTACGTACTTGCAGTTGTATCGAATAGTAACCTTTCCGATTAATGTAACTCTCATCGTGCTCTTTGGGTTTAGTAATTCTTATATGAGTGCCGTCGATGGCCCCAATTATTTTTGGAAATTTGTGTTTAGTTTTAATATTTGTCCATGTGTGTTCAGCTTCCTCCCTATTTGGCCACTTAATAAATTGAGATGCCAAAGCATTAAGTGCTGAACAGACTTTTTTAACACTACGCCAAGCAGTTGCCCGGCCAACGTCAAATCGATCACAAACAGATCTGTCAAAATATATTTCAATTTTTATTAAAAATAAACATTTTTATTAATTGTGAGAAGTATAATAATATAATTAATAGCGTTTATTTAATATAATTTTTTAATTTTTTTTCTAAATACAATTACCTGTATGAATCTGGCGTTGCCATAGTCCATATTGATATCAATAATTGTAATTCAGGAGAAATCGTTTGTCGGCCGTATCTCTTCGATTTTCTTTTCAGTCTAGGGCTAATTATATTTAATAAATAATTAAATACTTCACGCGACATCCTATAATTACAGATATTTCATACATTAAGTTTTACAAAATTTTATTTAGAATATCATAAATCTGGAGACACTGGTAGTGTCTCGGCGCTAAGCCAAAGCGAAACGACACTGCCGTGGCCTCCTTTACGCGAACCGAAGAGTTGCGGCATATCGAGGTTATCGGATCTCATATAACGGCTGAATCGATCGCGTTCTATGTATGCTCAATCGATAGCCACCACACGAATTGTATAATAAAAGTGCTTTTATTTATTTTGTACGTGCCCTACGAGCGGAGATATCACGACGCAAAGTTCCGAACTGCTACTTTTCACTTCTCAGATTTCAGATACGTCGTCCTGGTCATCATTATTATTATCATCGTCGACCGCATTCCACATATTCCTTTCGTGTCCATCTGACTTTCTTTCCGCTAGGAGCGCTATAGATGATCGGCGAGCGCTGTGATCTGGAGACACGACAGTGTCGCCAACGTTAAGCATACGGGAATCCGCGTGATTGGTGCACGTGACTTGTATATTCTCACAATGGCAGCACCAATACGGAACTTTGTTCACTCGGCGCGAATGGGAGGAAAATTAGAATGAACTAGTGTACACTTTTGGAATTATTAAAGTCACGACGCGACGCGAAAGAGAGAAAGACACGGGTATATAATTTAATTAAAAACTTCACTCTTTCTCTCTTTCGCGTCGCATCGTGACACGGTGGACGACGTGATGCGTGACGAGCTCAGCGGATACGTGTACACTTAGTGTATACACTTTTGGTTAGGTTAGGAAAATTTAGATTTACTCGATACGTTTTTATACGGAAAATGAACGAATCTGGCAATCTGGCAAAAAAATTACCTCGTGGACCGAGTATATACATACTAATTCTGTATAGACGACCATTGTTTTGATATATATATATCTTGACATTTTTATATCACAATTATAAATTGATGTCAACAATTGATGTTAAGTTAAATTCTACTATATAGATGCCCA